AAATATTGTGCAGCACAACTGTTTTCAACATTGATAATAATCAGAAATGTTTCTCGAGCAGCAGATCAGCATATTATACTGATTTCTGAAGATCATGTGACACTGAAGACTGGAGGAATGATGCTGAAAATACAGCTGCGCATCACAGAAATACATTACAGTTTAACAGATACTCACATAGAAAACAGCTGTTTAATATTTCACTGTTTTTACTACATTCTTGATCAAATAAATGCAGCCTTGATAAGCAGAAGAGACTTTAAGAATGCTACTGACCGCAGACGTGTGAGCAGTAGTGCAGATGACTGTGAAGTGATGAGTGTGTTGGGAACATGCAGCTTTACTGACACGCGTGTCTGGTTTGGCAGCTGGAGCTGATGGCGGTGCGAGTGCAGAGATGCTGGTCCGACTGCAGCGGCACGATCAGTCGTGGATCTGGCTGTACGTCCGTGCGACTCTGGACCGAGCCAGAGACGTGATCGTCTGCACAAACCTCGCCGTCAGGTGAACATCTGATCTTTCTCCACAGCAGCGACTGATCTCTCACTCTAACAGCGTGTGCAATGTGTGGCTGAATGTTTTGATTCGTTTGAATTTGATCAATTCTGATTCTGATTCTTATCGATTCCAATGTGGTTAAAAAAAAGGCAAACATTTAGATATCAAACATATTTATTCTGTGTCTCTTTTTGCAAAACATTTAGTTGCTGCTGAACACCATGAACAAAAATCAGCCGGCTGCATCAAAACTGACTCGATTAAGAGCTGCTTGTGTGCAAAATAGAGCGGCATGATTCTTTTAATGAAGATTGTAGTTCTCTCACAATTCTGAAGAGAAAACATTAGACAACCGAACAAAATCACATGTAATTTATGAATGAATGAATCAATGACTCACTCAAGATGTACTTGTTTCATTACTGGATGAATCTGCATTTTTGAACGAATCTCTTGAATGAATGAATCAATGACTCACTCAAGATGTACTCGTTTCATTACTGGATGAATCTGCATTTTTGAACGAATCTCTTGAATGAATGAATCAAAGCCAAATACATTTTAACAGCCCCTTTTCACCAGCTAAACACAAAGATGCAACATTGATAGGTGGAATTGAAATTTTAATTTACAGCAATTATTTGATTCCTGACCTTAAGTATCTTAATCTGGAATTGGAATTGATTTTCGATTCCCAACTCTTCTGATTTTCTCACGGTCTCTCGTCTGCAGTGAAGCGGAGGCCGTCTATCTCCGAGACAAACTGTACAGCGCTGCGCAGACGTCTCAGCCGGCTTGTGTCCCGAGAGACTGCGATCAGCTCCGGAGGAGCTCAGAGACCAGCGCTGACTCGCTGCCGCTCTTCTTCTGCACCCCGCCCTACAGCCCCAATTCCTCCCACTGCTCCTCTGACTTCCTGTCCGAGGGGTCCGGCGCACTCTGTCCACCTCAGCCGTCCTCTGACCCGATCTCTGACCTGTTCTCTCCTGCGCTCTGTCCGGCTGACGCTCACCTGGTCCCGGTGTACGGCACCTGCGAGGCTCTGGAGGACTTCGGTGTGTTTGTGACGCCGGAGCCCTCGCCCCCTGCTGAGGGGCCCTTGCTGTACAGCGAGACGGAGCAGGCGGAGATCGGGACGCTGGCCCGGCAGATCTGCTCTCTGGCCAGCAGCTTCGATGCTTACAGCAGGACAGGGCCCGATCCGGCCCCTGGGGCCCTCTGCTGGCCAGAGCCGCTGCTGGAGCCCGTCATCCACTGCATTCTCACAGACTGGGGCCGCTCCCACGCTTTGACCACCAGCCCACGAGCTCAAGGCCCTGACCCACGCTAGTAACCAGTCTCGCAGCATCCCCCGGTGAAAACCTCTTCCTTCATGTACTGAAAGTGCTCTGTTCTCACACACTAATGCTGTTCTTAATACACTAAAAATTATTCTTTAGTACTTTTTAAGATAAACTTAAGATCATCTAACTGTGCTATTTTGTGACCATGAATATGAACTAAAATGCGCTTTTAACACACTATCTCTGTATTTAAACTGTATTTAGTCAGCACTTGTAGTACACTTGACCGAGCCAGAGACGTGATCGTCTGCACAAACCTCGCCGTCAGGTGAACATCTGATCTTTCTCCACAGCAGCGACTGATCTCTCACTCTAACAGCGTGTGCAATGTGTGGCTGAATGTTTTGATTCGTTTGAATTTGATCAATTCTGATTCTGATTCTTATCGATTCCAATGTGGTTAAAAAAAAGTCAAACATTTAGATATCAAACATATTTATTCTGTGTCTCTTTTTGCAAAACATTTAGTTGCTGCTGAACACCATGAACAAAAATCAGCCGGCTGCATCAAAACTGACTCGATTAAGAGCTGCTTGTGTGCAAAATAGAGCGGCATGATTCTTTTAATGAAGATTGTAGTTCTCTCACAATTCTGAAGAGAAAACATTAGACAACCGAACAAAATCACATGTAATTTATGAATGAATGAATCAATGACTCACTCAAGATGTACTTGTTTCATTACTGGATGAATCTGCATTTTTGAACGAATCTCTTGAATGAATGAATCAATGACTCACTCAAGATGTACTCGTTTCATTACTGGATGAATCTGCATTTTTGAACGAATCTCTTGAATGAATGAATCAAAGCCAAATACATTTTAACAGCCCCTTTTCACCAGCTAAACACAAAGATGCAACATTGATAGGTGGAATTGAAATTTTAATTTACAGCAATTATTTGATTCCTGACCTTAAGTATCTTAATCTGGAATTGGAATTGATTTTCGATTCCCAACTCTTCTGATTTTCTCACGGTCTCTCGTCTGCAGTGAAGCGGAGGCCGTCTATCTCCGAGACAAACTGTACAGCGCTGCGCAGACGTCTCAGCCGGCTTGTGTCCCGAGAGACTGCGATCAGCTCCGGAGGAGCTCAGAGACCAGCGCTGACTCGCTGCCGCTCTTCTTCTGCACCCCGCCCTACAGCCCCAATTCCTCCCACTGCTCCTCTGACTTCCTGTCCGAGGGGTCCGGCGCACTCTGTCCACCTCAGCCGTCCTCTGACCCGATCTCTGACCTGTTCTCTCCTGCGCTCTGTCCGGCTGACGCTCACCTGGTCCCGGTGTACGGCACCTGCGAGGCTCTGGAGGACTTCGGTGTGTTTGTGACGCCGGAGCCCTCGCCCCCTGCTGAGGGGCCCTTGCTGTACAGCGAGACGGAGCAGGCGGAGATCGGGACGCTGGCCCGGCAGATCTGCTCTCTGGCCAGCAGCTTCGATGCTTACAGCAGGACAGGGCCCGATCCGGCCCCTGGGGCCCTCTGCTGGCCAGAGCCGCTGCTGGAGCCCGTCATCCACTGCATTCTCACAGACTGGGGCCGCTCCCACGCTTTGACCACCAGCCCACGAGCTCAAGGCCCTGACCCACGCTAGTAACCAGTCTCGCAGCATCCCCCGGTGAAAACCTCTTCCTTCATGTACTGAAAGTGCTCTGTTCTCACACACTAATGCTGTTCTTAATACACTAAAAATTATTCTTTAGTACTTTTTAAGATAAACTTAAGATCATCTAACTGTGCTATTTTGTGACCATGAATATGAACTAAAATGCGCTTTTAACACACTATCTCTGTATTTAAACTGTATTTAGTCAGCACTTGTAGTACACTTGAACCATCTTTCATACACTAGTACACTCAAGTGTACTACAAGTGCTGACTAAATACAGTTTTTAAATAAGTACAAAATGAGTGCACGAGAACAGAGCACTTTAAGTACATGATGGAAGTGCACTTTTTTCACCTAGGGCTAGTTAGTTACAGTAATAATATTACTTTTTGCAGTAACTAGTAGTGTAACTAATTACTTATAAGATTCAGTAATAATATTACAGTTACTATCCATAAAACAGCTCGTTACTTAGTTAATATTGATGCCTCAACCCCTACTGATTTAAAGTCCAACAATCCAATAATTCCTAGATTTATTTTCATAATTTCCACAACTTGCACAGGCACATGAAGTCACCAGAGCAGCAGGCATAAGGAATATGAAAAAGCTTACATTCAGCAGATGGAAATATTGGCATTATATTGATTTTGTCAGGAGAAAAGCTGCTCTGAACACTGATGTGGAAGCTGTGGCATTACTTTACTCTGGCGTTACGGCTTGCCCTCATCCCTCTGATCACGATATAAATTATATAAAATCTTTTAAGAGAATGAAACATTTTCTTATGAAATTATATGATTTCTTTTGATAAAATACATAATGGAATATAATCGTATATGGGTATAACAGAGAACTTATAGCTACAATTAACCAAGCTACACTTGACAATTAATGAGATTAATACAACACTGTTATTAAACGTTAAAATTAATCAGCACTGAGTGTTTGAAATAACTTCTGACTGTGATCCAGTGTGGATTTTGATCAAATGATGAGGCAGAAATATATTGTTAGTAACATTTTAGAAGAATTTAACGGGGAAGATATGCAACTTCTGTGGGGCGTGAAAGAAAAGTGATAACTAGTAGTGTAACTAATTATTGTTGCCAGAAAGTGATAAGTAATAATATTACGTTTGAAAGGAGTAACTAGCCCAACACTAGTAACCCAGTATGGCATATTGCCGTCACAGTGGCACAGTTTCTCCTCGTTTCTGGAGAATTATTTACACGCCTGCAGTGTCTTATGAATGTGAAGAATGTGTCCTCTTTCTGATGTGTTGCATGTAGATGCAGTTTTTGTGAAGAGCTCAATAATAAGCTACTCTGCACTTTCTCATGAGACACAAACGGCACAGAAGATCCTCAGACAAGTCCAGAGCGATGAGCTAACGCTACCTCGTGAAGCCAGTGAGATCTGTCTGTGGTGTTGCTGTATATTTATTTTCTGAGGGTTATGTTAGATTTGTAGATCATTCCAGCACACAGTTTTTATGTATGAATGTAATGTTGTGTGAAAGTTTCTCTCGCGGCGTCACTGAAACTCGGCCTTATGTTTGCAGTCTCTGCACAAAACATGCACAACATGTACAAAACAAACAGCTTATTTATATATTCTTGCTCTTCGTTTCTATTTTTGTATGTAATGTCAATAAAGTTGCTATGAGAACTGAAACTGTGGTCTGTTTAGTCATCCTCATCCAGAAACCATATATATATATATTTGCAAAAAGAAAATTGACTGGCTTTAATCATAGTCACTTAGAATTATTTTATATGATTAATATATGGTTTATATAATTATTATACGATTTATATTATTATTAATCCATTATACACAAGCAATTTTAGTTCTAAAATAATTATAAAGCATTTAATTTAAATGAATATTAATATATGTGACCCTGGAGCACAAAACCAGTCATAAGGGTCAAACTGAGATGTATGCATCACCTGAAAGCTGAATAAATAGCTTTCCATTGATGTATGGTTTGTTAGGATCGGACAATATTTGAAAATCTGGAATCTGAGAGTGCAAAAAAATCTAAACATTGAGAAAATCATCTTTAAAGTTGTTCAAATGAAGTTCTTAGCAATGCATATTACTAATCAAACATTAAGTTTTGATATATTTACGGTAGGAGATGTACAAAATATCTTCATGGAACATGATCTTTACTTAATATCCTAATGATTTTTGGCATAAAAGAGAAATGTATAATTGTGACCCATACAATGTATTGTTGGCTATTGCTACAAATATCCCCCAGCGACTCAACACTGCTTCTGTGCTGCAGGGACACATATACAGATCATATGTGATATAAATAAGCTGTAGAATCAATAGATAACTCGTTACCGTTTATTTCAGCTGCTTGCACTCTAAATCTTCTCTTGTGACACAGTTTCTGAAAGCTGGCACTCAAACAGCAGAAGCACACCAGATCTACAAAACCAGACACTGATTCTCAGCCTTTGACTCAGTTTTCAATTTCACAAAACACTTTTTGCAAAACACAACACACAGTTCTCTATGTAACACACACATCTAACAGGAATTAATATTATGGCAAAGGTGTTTGCAAATGTTTGCTTTTGAGATGTGTTTGTGATGTTTTGAATGCAGTGATTCGTTTTGCAACATTTTGCATTTTGTGTGCAATTCTTGGATTTGTGTGTAAAGTAAAAAAAAAAAAGAGGAAACGTTTTGAAAATTTGTAGAAGCAGTTGAAAAAAAAACAAAAAATGACTATAGTACTGTATGTGACCTTACCTGTTTAAGTCTCTATCACTATATATATTATTAACTATATAAACCAACTTAACTTAAGTTTCACTTGTGACTGCACTCATAGAGCAAGATTATTTTGTCCTCTCTCATAGACAAGTACTTTCATCAGTGTAAATATCTTCAATCTCTTAACCTTTAGCAAAAGAGTTTTGTATCTAGCTGAGAAGTGAATCACACTTGCTCTGTGTTGTGATTGGCTGTTCGCCACTGACGTCACACATTCATGAGCACGTGCTCCACAAGTGAAGTGAAGTGACATGTGGCCAAGTATGGTGACCCATACTCAGAATTAGTGCTCTGCATGTATCCCATCCAAAGTGCACACACACAGCAGTGAACACACACACCGTGAAGACACACACCCGGAGCAGTGGGCGCCCGGGGAGCAGTTGGGGGTTCGGTCGAGGCTCAAGGGCACCTCAGTCGTGGTATTGAAGGTGGGAGAGACACAGGCTGTACATTCACTCCCCCCACCTACAATCCCTACCGGTACGAGACTCGAACCCACAACCTTTGGGTTATGAGTCAAACTCTCTAACCATTAGGTCACGACTTCCCAAACTCAGGATCAAAGCCTGAGTTGACAG